GTTGAACTATGTTCAACGAAATGAGTGTAACATAGTGAAACGAATCTCTGTTCTCTGTTCTCTAGGTACGACCTATGGGAGAGGTACGAAGTCACTCGAAGATTCCTCTTCGAGGTACGAATTCTCTAGCGACTTCGTACCTCTGAGAGCTACGTAGGCAGCCCATTTGGGTCCGGTCTAATAATTGTATATGAAGGATTCCATCAAAGAAGGAAAGTCGAATCGCAAGGGCTTTAGCGACATAGCTATTCAAAGCAATCCACCCAGCTGGAAAACTACCTGCTTCTTCAACGCCAAGGCACCGAGCTAAGACCCCATCGAACATCTTGTAGTCAAAATTGCCACATAATTTAGTGAAGCACTTCAAGTCTTTCTTGGCCATGTGCACTGACGACACTGATTGCTTGAGTTCTTGAATCATTCTTGAAGGAAGCTTATCGTTCAAGTTCCATGAGCTGGAGTTCGTCGCTTGCTGATCTTATTCATCATTTGGTCAAAGAATCAGCATGTCGATTGGTAAACCTGTTGAAATTCCAGGCAATGTGACTGAGCTCAATTTTCTTGAATGACAATATTGTTTACAATGTGAGTATGAGACTTAGATGTTGGTTTTGATGAATTTCCAGTATGTTGTGGTAGCGACAGATTTAATATTTTAATCCTTTTGGCATTGGCGGGAATTAGTTTATATAGCGGGAAGGTAAGCAGTAAAATCTCTAGCCTTTATTTCAAGGTACTCGAGTGGAGTCTTATATCTCTCTTCTTTCATCATTGTTCACAATTTTTTTGCTGCTTGATCTTCAATTTCATATTTAAATTCTCAATTTATGAATAACTAAGGTCAACTTCTTGGCATATGATGAATTTGAAGTTTAAAAGTGGGAATGACTACCAACTGATATATGTGATTCTTCTGCTCCATGGGAGAGTCAATTAAGAAGGGATCCTTTGGGCGATATTCGGAGAAGTTCATCACTAGCAAGCAAGGTTGATACATCTTTTTATTGCTTTAGCTTCAACAAACTGGCGTTCATCAGTACCTTTGGGATGTCATGTCGGGCCTCCTAATTTGATATTTTCACAACGTCATACATTGATAATGTCTAATTCACTGATGAAATGTTCTTTAAAATATTGGTAAAGAGTAGTTAGGCATTGTTTAAAAAGAGTTATTTCATTTTTGTTGACTCTTATCTCGGATCTAAAGTTTATGATATGCCAATGCAATATAGGAGTTTGGTTGAGCAATACACTTCCATTTTCAATTGTAAACGCTTAATTGACAGCCATTTGATTTTTTTGTTCGTGAATATACCCCTAATTTATGCACTTATTATTACCCCACACCAAAACGCTTTCTTTAGTTTGAATGAATCTCATCATGCTTTTACAATAATCTCAACAAAATTAGATGATTAGAAGATGGTAATAACGGAAAGACATTGGAGGACGCATTTCGTGACTAAACAAACCCTTCTTACGAGTTTTCTCCCCTTCTATTGTATTGTGGCTTATCTTTTATTTTTATTAACAAATATCTCGCTTTAATAAAATCTTTGTGGTGCTTTATATTTTTTCCGTCCTAAGATCAAAGTCACAAATTTACTTTATTTTCCCTTTAAATAATATAGAGTAGCATTTGTTACATTAAAACAACAAAATGAGAATATATTTTAAAGTTAATTCTATCCGTGCAACGCACGGGTAAAATCTAGTGTTGTTTATAACTACTCGTGTAAATTAAACCTCTGAAACCATATATGGTGGTTATTTCCCTCTTTCTTCCTTCTGTTTTTTTGGCTGTTACTCTGTCTTCTTCTTTTTTTTTACTTTCCTTTGTGCCCTTATGTTGACTCGAATTTTATTTTTTACAGTATTTTTTCTCCTTTGTTTTGGTCTTTGGCTATAATATTGGGTTCATGAAATTCGTGAAGAAGGGAAAAAGAAGTGGGTTTCTCCTCATTCTCACCAAAATAGAAGGAAAATTATTTTTTCCTTGCTTTTTTGTTTATTTTCTCTTCTCTTTGGAAAGTAAGAAAAATGACTTCTGGAAGTCAGATGTTTGGTAAGATAGGAAAATTGAGTCAAAAGAAAACAAACTCTAAAAAAAAAAAAAAAGAAAAAAGAAAACAAACTCTTGGTCAAGTGGAAAATGTAGCCTTGTTTCCGTTTAGATTGGTGACCAAAGCTCTCTAGCAGTTGCTCCGCCAGTCCGCCCCGACACCCCTCAACTATAGCGGAAAATTTCAAAAGGTTTTTTTGTTTAAAAAAATAAATGTTCAATAGTTTGTGATTTATTATTGATTCCAAGAAATGAATGACGATAAATTCATAGTAATATCCAATTACTTTGTTACGTATGTTGAATTAAAATGAGGTTTTCTGGAAAATGAACCAAACAAAAATAGATTATTTTCAAACTTTCAGCCAAACAATAGAAAAGGAAAATGACTTTAGGATAATTACTTATTTTTCAAAATTCATTTTCCAAGAATTGTTTTCCTGGCTTCCAAATGGACATTTGATTTTTTTCCTATCTAACAAAACAAGAAAATATATTTCTCTACAGCATTTTTTTTCTTTCGAATTCTTTAAACCAAACATACTATACCTTTTTTTCTTTTTCAAATTCTTTAAACCAAACATACTACATACTGTTACAAAATCAGAGAAAGACTTATAAGATGATGAAGCCTGAAAATGCATAGTGTTCTATCCACTTAGAGCACTTTTCACATTACTCATTTTAAGTTTCTCATTTCAATCTTTAGTTTATGAATTTTAACTACTCCCTCCGTCCCTGTGTTTGTCCAATTTCATTTTTACACACCATCCAATGCACTTCTTTAATCCATTTTATCTTATAATTTGTATATTAAAAAATTATAAAAATTATATATTACTCCCTCTGTCCACCATAGATCTTCCCAATAGCCCTTTTTCTTTGTCAACAATAGATCTTCTCATTTCATTTTTGAACAAGTAAAATACCATAACTACCCCCACTTACTTTATTTATTACACCTCACCCACCTCATTTAATACACTCCACCCATTTTTCATTAAGGGTATTATGGTAAACTTTCAACTTTTTTCAACTCTCCTTAAAAACCACCAAAAGTCAAAATGAGAACATCTTAGGCGGACGGAGGGAGTAATAATCTATATGTTAAGACGAATCAAACAAGATCACACATAACTATTTTTAGGATTACACATTGAGAGAATTTGATGAGTCAAAATGCTTAGATGAACAGTTCCAAAAGTCAAAAGTGGACAAATACTCAGGGACGGACCAAGTATGTTACAGTTGTAGTATCCATTCGTACATACTTTCTCAATCTACTGAAGAGGCCTTTGTACCACAATACTTCCAAATGTACATAAATCGTGTACAACTTATGGTGTCAAATTCCTGGGAGTAGAATAAAATTCTTGAACCAGAAAAGATTGAATAAAATATAGTTACAGAGTACAAAGCATTTAACACATGAGAACAAGAAAAGATTAAAAAAAGAAGGCATCAAAAGGGGCTGATCCATCTAGCCAACTTTAGCAAGATCTCAGGAACAAGACGTGTTCTTGGAGGAGCATTGGCATCCCTTTCAAGGGCTTCCCTGTCGCCCGCGTGTATTAGGGAAACTACACGGTCGAAAAGTTCGTCTTTCCCACCTCTCAGAGGATCCTGCATATATATATATATATATATATATATATATATATATATATATATATATATCACCCAAAATATTCACTCCAAATCCCAAGTTGCATGTTCCAGACTCCAAATCCGATTCAGTTAATATTTTATTATACGATTATGCTCTCGTTATCCCAACTTAAATTGCATGTTTCGGTTTATGATATTTGATTGAAGTAATTTTTTTTATCAAATTTTAAAAATAAAATTTATATATTAAAAAACTACATCCAAAAGGTCTACGAAACAACATGTGACATGACTCTATTATTTTATCAAATGGGGAGCAAAAATAAAGAAAGAAAGTTAATGAATTTTGACCTTGGTAACCCCATGTCATCCTATATCAAGGTGCCCCGTTTGGAGTCCCTACGGTGCTCCGTTCAAAAAATTGGTGGTTCCCACCTCCCTAATCGCCCCGGTAACCCCCCCCCCGTCCCCGTCCCCGTAATTGCACCCCATAAAATTTAGTTGACTTTGGAAGTCAAATTTTGACGGGGGAGGGGGTGGCTTCGGGTCAGACCGGGGTGGGGATGGGGGTTTGCTGGGGGTTAGGAGGGATAGGAACCATATAGCGTAGGGACCCCGGGTTATTTCATGACATTGATTCTCAATGTCATGGAAACAGGGGTGTTCATTTAAAACTCCAACAAAAAAGTAAAGTTTTTTTGTATAAAGAGGAACATACTTGGAGAAATAAATCTGTATGGGTTTTCCCCTTGTACAATATCAGTTCAGCGTGGGCCCCTACTCGCCGGAGGGTATTCACAAATCTTTTACTGCACAAATGAAACCAACGATATAGTGATTTACGTAGTAAGGAGTATAAAGCAAGATCGTACTTTAAATCAAGGGTGTATTAGGTATGCTTTTGCAGGGTGATTTTACTCATTTTAGATTCACAATCACCCAAGTTGTCTACTCCCACCATCCAGAATTAGTTGTCCACTTAAGTTGTAAAAAATTCTCATTTTTAAGAAATGTGTTTAAAATGGCAAATATGCCCTTGGGATGAGTTGCCGATAAATTAAAGGTGCCGATAAATTGCTCTTTAAATGTATATAGACCTTTCTTGACAAGGTATGGACTTATCTTCAGTGCCGTGGAAGAGGATAATGTGGGGTAGCAATGAAACCGCGGCTTTGGAGTCTGGCTCCTGTACCAAAGCTTCAGGGGAGAAGCTTAACAAAGATTCTTCACCTTCCATTATACTGTAATGGGAATTATATGTCAAAAACTTCATTTGCACCACAGAGCAAAAAAAACTGATACTTCAATGTATAAACTAAGGGCATGTTTGTTAAGAGTTATGTGGCTAAAAAAGATGAATTTGATTATTTTTCTGAAAGAGAGGAAAAGTGTTTGGTAAATCCGATTTAAGCCAAAATAAGTCAAATGCTATTTTAATTCTTTTCATTGATAAGAAAAGTGAGTAGCAACCAAACGGGGCCTAATTCTTGAATTTTGCGGTGGGAGAATATTTACGGACCTCAAAAATATAGAACGATATAACCCTCTGCCATGGAAGTGATCTACTAAGCTGGGTAAATTATACCTGCCCACAACAGATATATATCATCCCGTCATCATAACAACTAGATGATAATAATAATAATACAGAATAAGAAAAGACACGAGGTAATGATATTATTGAATGTAAGGTACCATAGAAAATCAAAGAAAATGATTTTCTAATATAATTGGAAAGGAAGGCACCTAGGTTCCCCTTGTTTCAAGGACAACAAATCATGATAATTATTTTCCAACAAAAGCGTTTACCAAGAAAATGTTTTCTTGGAAAATAGGTTCAATATATGATTTGATGCTTTACCCCAAAAGAACAGAGAACATAAAACTGTTTCCAGAAAATGACTTGCCGTTTTCAAAAACATACAGTTTTTTACCACAAAAATCTAAAGAATTGTGAGGAAAATCTGAAAAACTGTCTCTTTTCACGTGAACAGTCGGAACCTAGTCTAATGATTGATAATATTTGCACCCCAAGAGGAGAAAAAACAAGGCATATACTAGAGGCAAAATGGACAGAAAACTTGCCCCCCTGATGAACCAAAATACGCCTTTATTTGTGAGACGCTCCAACAAACCACTTCCCCTCTTGATTCTTTAATCGCCTGCTTTACAAGAACACATGAAGAAATGTGTGCACCAGCAGATTGACCCATGAGATAAATCCTGCACAACAAAGGACACTCGGTTGAAGCCCCACACACAATTTAAATCTTTTTTGAAAACATCACCTCCAATTAAAAATGATTCGTTAATGTTACGTTATCATATGAAAACCTGCATTATTTCTAAATATTAAAACATGTTGAGTTAGTGAGTTACCTGTTTGGATCACCTCCGTATTGAGCAACATTGTTGCATACAAATGAGATCCCCTCAGAAACATCTTCCACCATATCACCTATCGTCCCCTGTGGAAAATTTCTGAAGCAAATACATGCATCAGATGTGCAAATGGAAATGAAATCTATGCGGCTGACCACCATTCCCGGTGTATACATGCACACATAGAGTGATAAGGTTTGGAGTTCCATCTCTAAAAAAGTCAACCTTATAGAAGAAATAATTCAATAACTTATGCGCTTTTTGTGTTTTTATCTTTGTTTGATGCAAGATGGTTAACATGTAGAAGATTCATACAGTTATGTATTAACGATGCTCATATCCAATATGGGTAGAGAGATAGAGAAAAAGAGTCATTGAACATTTTCTTCCCAAATTATTGTGCCAAACTCTAATCAATGTTGATGAATAGAAAGTAAGTTGAGCCTAACACATACATGAAAAACAAGCTAAAACTGGAGTGATAAAAACTAAAAGCATCTTTGTCATATGGGAAGAGAGAGAGAGAGAAGAGTAAAATGCATGAGAGGACAAGGAATAAGATGAGGTTAAAGTTCCCAGTGTGGTGCATAATCTTACCTGTAGTCAAGACACGCTACTAAGATGTCACGTTCTGATAACTGTTTCCCCAATAGGGAACCCCATGCTTTGTACCTGAACAATCAAAGTAGATAGATCTTGACAGTAAAAATACTCTCATAAGCAAATCACTTTGTTCATACAACTATACAAGTACTATTAAATAGGGTAAACAACAACAACAACAACCCAGTCTAATCCCAACCCTGTTGAGGTCTAGGGGTCAAGATGCACGCAACCTTACCCATGTAAAAAGCAGAGGAGCTGTTTCTGTAAGACCCTAAGTGCATTGCTGCATTTACTTCTCAAGGCCTCACAAAAAGTAAGAAGCAAGGGAAGGTTAATGTGTCGTTTTGAATTTGTCCATTATTTACCAAAAGCTAAAACATTGTAAAAAATGAGTATTTTTAGCTTCATTAGCAACGGACGGGTATTGCATGCATATGGAGTATCATCTTCTTACTTCTACAAAGGTTTATCTCGGAAAAAGTCATCTTATATTTAACTTCATATCACATCTACAAGTCATAGATGTTCAGTCAGACAGTAATGGTCGAACGAATTGGAATCAAAAGTTCTTACCCAATAATCCATGCCCCACCAGTGACAAATACTGCAACCGGCTTTGAGCCATTTCTATCCGTTGGTAAATATAAGTCCAGTCTGTGCACCAAAATTCAGTTAAGAAGATCCACACAAGAATGTTGATGAAGCCTCCACCACCACCCCACCCCCCAAAAAAAGAGTTAACATTTCCATACCTATTTCTTGGTTGACTCCCATAAAGAACACTTCTCTGTACATTGGGTGAAAAGAAGTAATAAAAAGCAACTGCAAAAAGCTAAAAGCTTAACTAAGCGATGTAATACAATGTCTTTTACTCGGTATATTTTTCATGCAAACCCCAAAGCTGATAGAATAAATATAGACTTGTTTTATATACGAGAGAGAGAGAGAGAGAGAGAGAGAGAGAGAGAGAAGAAGAAGAAGAAGAAGAAGAAGAAGAAATAACATTATACTATTATTAATACCTTGAATAAATCCAGGCATAAGCAACATAGCATATATACCAAGAGCAAGAAGTCGTGTAATCCAACGATAGCCTACCCTGAAAAATAGAAGTGATCAAAAGCTGCATCGTGAAACTAAAGAAGCAAACCAATCGACATCGGAAACCATTGAAATTATTTAATACTATGAAAAAATGAACCTCATAACCATTTTAGGCTATCCTACTGCCTATAGCTAATGCTTGTAATTTAGCCTACATAGTAGAGAGCCTAATTACCATTCTAGCTAACATTCGTATAACACAACACAAATCTCCTTTGGCTCAAATATTAATATGTTGACTCCAGCAGAGTATAATCCACTCAATGAATTTTTTTAAATAAATAAAACATTAACAATGGGGAAGAATTCAATAATAGATTATTCCAAAAGTAGCCAGCCATGATTCTTTTAAATGGAAAAAATTCCAAATGATAATGGACACATGCAATAATTGATTGATATTTAAAGAATTTAATCAAGAAAACCAAATCTCATTAAAGATTAGTTCTTTCAAAAGTACGGAGTATAATGATTGAGGCAATGCACCAAACACGATTATATGTTTGAAACAAACAACCAAATGAATGAATAAATAAAAGAAGCTCAATTCTTGATAGAAGAAGAATATGATTTCATAAATATTGAAAAAATTTATCATGGTTGAACCTGAGACTTTACCCGAGATAACTAAGAAGCTTGAAGCTAAGGCGAGTGATCAAGTAGGTCTCAGCCGCGGCATGGCCGAGTTCACGGCTGAAGGAAGACTGGCGGCGGGGATAACACGGGGCAGAAACCGTCTTGGCCAGAGGTTTCCGCCTCCTCTGATTGTTAGCAGAAGGGCCGGCGGGAAGGCTCGAAACCCTAGATATCAAAGGCTCGTGTGCATCCGTTCTCCGGTCATTCATCTCCTCCAACTCGTTGACAAGAGACTCCAAACTCGCCGGGACGGGGCGGTTGGCCGGCGACATCTCCGGCAATTTGAAATTCTGAGAATCAGATGTGGACGGACACCGTCGAAGTATATCAGATTCCGACGAGGATTTGTGGGATGGGAAGGCAGGCAGGGCGGTTGGGGATTGAGATGCTCTTCGAGGGGATCAATGGCTGTCAGTGTCAGAAGGAAACAGAGATGCTTTCTATTTCCAACATTCTTCTTCAAAGCATTTTATGACGTCTGGTTTCTACTTGCAGAATTTCTTTTCCGGGAATATGTTTCTTTCCCGAAGAAACAATTATGTCATGACTTTCACTAGTCTTTTTAACTTTTCTTTTCTTTTTTTTGTCTCCACATTTTTTTAATTTTTTCTTAATTATCACGAGTTTCACCGGAGGTATCCCCTTTGAATATTTGTTTAGTTTTGATTTTTTTAATTAATTATTTTCAACTTTTAACCTATAATTAAATAAAAATATATTATATATTAATTAGATAAAATAATATTTTAAAAATATTTATATAATAAATATAATAAAATTGTTTTGTATCATAATTAATATCATTTTTTTTAATTTGAAATCAAAATTTATCCATTTTGACCAAAACAAAGACAAAATTGGAAATATACTCAAGGACGGAGAGAGTATTATATATATATATATATATATATATATATATATATATAAGATTTTGGATCAAATGAGAATGATGCTCCATGAAAAAAATAAGAATGCACATAGTCAATTGGATTTGAGATCTAAAGGTTGTTAATTAGTGAAAAATGGAGGAAAATTTTTGAAAAATGTAGTGGCATAATCGTAAATAATTCAAAATTCTCTAGCATTGCGAAAATACATTACATTGTTCAGAAAATGCATCATTACGAACCAAAAATAAAGTTTTTACCTTTCTTACGTTAAGAGTCATTTTCACCGGAACCAGCCCTATATATATGTGTGTGTGCGCGTGTGAAAATCCATAGATAGGTTTCAACTTTCAAGTACTCCGTATTGTGTATGGTTTACGATACCCTATTAAAACTACTCCTTGAAAGTGATATTTTTACACAAAGTACTCCTTCCATACTTTATTCTTGAACTCAGCACACAAATTAATGAATTCACAAATTGAAATTAGAAGACGGGGTATATGGATTTTTAATTGAATTTGTTTAGAATTAGAGTCTGGTATACGAAATTGATGAAATTAAAATTCAAATGAGAGGTAAAATTCTATGGAATTATTTTAGATGAAATTGAATTCTCTCATTTTAATATATTTTTGGCACTACCAATTCAAATCCACATATTTTGTGCTACCAAACACATTATCCTCAATTCTAATACTATAGTTTGAATTACATGTACCAAACGAAGCCTTAGAAAAAGTGGCACAAATCCAAATCCCTTTTTTATTCCAAAACCTGTAATTTGGGTCAAATTTAGATTCAAAATCCAAATTTATATTCTCAAACACGTCATAAAAGAACTTACCATAACCACGAAGTGTGGTCTAGAAAAGAGGGGGAGGGGTGCAACATATAACATCATTATTTCAAAAGAAAAGCAATTCGGCCAATACTTGTACAAATTCATAATAGTAAAGAGGCTCTAGCTAACAGAACATGTGCGCACATGGTACAATTTGTGCACCCATTGGAGTCTTCCTTCAAAAGGAAAGATAAACATCCCTTAACCATTCAAGTTCTCGATCGTTTTTCAGATTGGGTCATGTCCCTGGAGCTTATTCTGCAATCTTTGCTGGAAATTTATATTTATAATATATCACCTGAACCACCATTTCTGTGCAGCAGATATGGGTTTGTTCAGGAATGGGGCATATCGATGGACTAGAGGAATAATGAGCCTCCCAATCTTCGACCATACACTTTGATGGTAACCAGCTGTTGCGGGTGCATGATACATGAGTTTCAGTAGCTGCCAACAAGAAAGTTCAATCCATGGTAAGAATATTGATTTACTTTGAAAACCATCCACCTTGGGTCACACATACTATTAGACTATCCAACTTTTGGTGCTACGTCTAAATTTTTCCCCTCACTTTTGGTATAAGACTATATTTCTTATCACTTGGAGTCCTCCTGCCTACTTATCTAGCTAGAAGTTAACCACATATTCTATGCTGAACTCAAGAGTTTAATGCCGAGGAGGATTCTTGCCTTCTTGGTTTCAGGTCTAAGCATGATGGATGTTCATAGTGTGTTCAAAAATATTGCTAGTTTTTGTGACGTTTCCAATTACCTTTTGTTAGACGGAGCAGAGTTATTATCTTAAGAGTTTTGGCCAAGTGCCTTGAAGGATCATAATTGGAAAAAAGAAAAGGAAAGGATGGGAATGTAGGACCCAAAGTAGTGGTGACCATAATAGTCACTTTAAGGTATAAGTATAGCATGCCTATCAGATAGACACCTAAAGACCAATGTCATGGGCAAACAGACACCAAGTAGCAGTCTAGAGAGTCAGACGCTCATGCAAATCCAGATTAAGTTTCTCCTTGATCTTATTTTAGTTAAATTACCCCCCTTTATCCCAAAAAGAGGCATTTTTCAAAAGCTTTTTGTCTCAAGAAAAGAGTCAAATTTCATTGAACAATGATACTACGTAATTCTTATTTTTACATATAATTTGCCAAAAAAAAGTAGTAACTACTCCTTAAAAAGTCAAATATAATGCTTTTAGTCAAACAACTAATAAACTTAGAAATATAATTCTGATTTAGAGACTCGTAAAAGTTATACCGTGCCAAAATCTTAAAAAAGGTGCACCTTGCCAAGATTAACAAGTTGCACCTTGACCAAAAAGGGCCTTTTTACTACAGAGCAAGTAAAAGTCATAGTCACTCCATGACAGCGTATTCTTAATTACACATGTATTCTATTGGTTTTTATTAGGGCAGTTGGAGGGGGCGAGGGGGTGTAGACGTGTAGTATATCACAATTCACAAATAATGCACACCTGCCAATACATGAAGGTCTGTAATATGTTGCGCTGCCACCTGCATTTTGATCCAGAAATGAATGAAATCATAAAGATGACGTGAAACAAAGTGTAAGGTGATTAGAAAGCACAAAGAAAAAACTGAAAGAGAGGACTGACGAGAAAAGAGATAAAATCAAAAGGATTCCAAGTCCAATCTCAGCTTGTGAAGACAGTATTTTAAGGGTACTTGTATTTGACTCAACCCATACACAGGCTTCATCAAAGTACCTCCTGCAGACATCACAGAAATGATAAATCAGAATCAACCATTGAATACACACGCTTTTTGGGGGATTGTACTGGGTCTGTTGTTTAAATCTCCATACATTGAATGCATTTTGTATAGCATCAACATTTTTTTATATGGCTTAATAAGTGTTCACTTATCTAAAATGTCAAAAAAAGGATAGATACTACATTGTAATAGATTTATTAGTGTTCAAACAAGGGACAAGGAGTACATGCAACAGCACCACCTCAATCAATAATCCCAGCTATGTTAGGTTGATGGCATGTTGACATAATTCAGTTTCTAGTAATTAACTAGCATTAGATTGATGATATACGTTCAAGCTACACACACACATCATTTGCATATAAGAATAAATTATGTCCAAACCATCACTTTATTGTTTTTTTTGTCTTAATATAAAATGTACTCTGTAAAGTAATTTTTGGCTCTGTTTGGAACATGTTACAACTTAGGTATCCTCTGCAAGACTCAATGTATAAGAATGATATTCAAACTTTTCATCCAAATGGAAACAATGGAGTTGAGCCTTGCCTGTATAAAGTGGTTCTACTAAAGTTACTCCTGAGGAACTTCGCAACATATTCAAGGCATTGACATAATACTGGAATCAAAGCAACTGCAAAAAATTGAGCAAGGATTCATTAAATATTAACCAATGAGGTGCATGTTAAAAAGTCTAGTTGGGTGGAAGAGTAAAATCCAGTGGCACTCACATTTGAGGTAAAGTTGTGAAGGGAGAAAAATAAGACAGTATATGAAGCAGATAAAATCTTTTGTCACTATCACTGTCTGCAACCACACTTGCATTGCCTGCATATTCCATGCCCTGGGTTTCTGCATGAGATATTAGTCATACAGTTAGCCTGTTTCAGGTTGGCGTGGACTTAGATTGGGAAAAAACAAGGAGAATTTACCCCATATAATGCATACAAAGAATACAATGTTGAACATGCTGTTCCCATAAAGGAAAGTTTATATGCCCTGTTTGCAAGGTTTGTGGGACTAAGGGGAAAGATTGCAAGTGCCGCCATAACAATGACCTGCAGAAAAAAATAAATGATTTAGGGGAGGGGGTTTGTCATGTTAAACTCATCAGGAAATGGAAAATAATCTTGTTGCACATATAGAAATACAAATCATTAGACAAACATCCCCCCCTCAAGGATGTAATAAATGTTATAAGCAATGTCTCCTTTCACAATATTGATATCCAACTATTACTCAAGTACCCAGTATAATCTGAATAACAAATTTCATCTGTGTGTTCAAACTGATATTAAAGTTCATGATTGATTATATATGTAGGGAAGATGATACTTAGATAAAAGGATGTATCATTACTGACATAAAAACCAAATGCAGATTTTTTTAATATGTATAGAAATGAGGCACTGTCTCCTGATTATTTTAAAGCTGGTCATACATGTTATTAAATGATACCAATACAAACTATGTCTTCTACCAACTAATATGAGTCCATAAAATAAAGACCAGATATTGGACAGTAAAAGCGTAGTAAACATGGTTTGTCCTGCAACTCTGCCAAGGCAGACTCTTTGGATCTTGTGCCTAATATTTCATTCAGTTAGTTATCCTAACTAATCTAAAAGCTGCTCCAGATATTCCAGGTCCATTTACTATGAATTGTCAGTTCTAATTACCCAGCCTCTTAATGTGTATTTGTCTATGAATAATTTGCCATACCCAAGCATTGACTGAAAATTGTATAGTTTGCCTATCCCAACGCAAAGATGCTGGATTTGGTGTTGGAGTTGCCGATGTCCTTCCAGACGAATCTAAAATGAAAAACTTTATTAGTAAAGAAAAAAAGATAATATACTCCGTATATTTCAATTTCTAAGAAAGACCCTAAATGCAGTTCAGATATTTCAGTGTTAACTAAGAATCCAAATGAAGACCTGAGCTTTGAGCTCGTGGTTGGGAATTTGTAGATGATGAAGTTGTAGGCGGAGCAGATGGTTTTGCCTGCTGAGATGAACTGCTGGTAGCCATTGGCTCAACCACTAGATCGGGATCCTAGAAAGCCCAAAGAAAATAATAAGAACAATACTCCACTACATATAAGTTTCTCCAAGTGATATAAGATAGAAGCAATTTAGTACCAAGTGACAAACACCCTGGAATCTTGCTGCAGGTGATGTCATGTGTAGTTGCAATTTAAACGGAAAGGAAAAAAATTGCAGCAAAGAAGTGTTTGAATGCCCATTATTTTCAATTTCTTTCAAGAAATTCAAGGATAACATTGACTAACTTGAACAAATCTGCATGCTAGGTCATTCATTCCTAAACCTAAGAGCAAAATTGATTCCAGTGATTCATACTGAATGAATTTACGGAGAACAAACAAGACTAGCTGGTAAAAAAGTTTGAGGGAATGGATTCGGATAGTTAGAGTGCATACAATGTATCGCTTGTAAAATTTGCGCTTGAAGTGGTCGACGACGTCGGCGCGGGAGCCCATATGGGGAGGGATGAGAACATTGGACCAGTAATCGGCCCACCGGGGATCGTTCTCGTAGTCGTACGACGCGGCCGCTATCTTCTTCAGCTGATCCTCTTCTCCGCCCATCTCCGCCGCCGCCCGCTGAATAGAAGGCGTAGCTGTCTAGGAGAGTTGTAGGTAGAATCTTCCGTGCAGGAAAGCTGGGTGCAAAATGGAGTCCAAAGACAGCTCCACTTGAGCTTTTGTTTATTTTTGTAGTTTTAGATTGCTTTTGTTTAATTTTATAGTTTTAAATGGAACAAATTTCATACTCCCTCCTAAAGTATTTATCTACTTTCATTTTTAGACATCATCCAATTCACTTCTTTAATCCATTTTATCTTGTAATTTATATTTTAAAAAATTATAGAAATTATATATTAATAATCTATATGTTAAGACAAATCAACCAAGATCACACATGACTGTATTTAGGCTTACACATTAAGAGAATTTGATGAGTCAAAGTATTTAGATGAACAGTTCCAAAAATCAAAAGTGGACAAAAACTGAGGGACGAAAGGAGTAATTACTTAAGAGCGACCTCTAAAATTATGTTTGACAAGAAAAATGTATGATCATTGTCAAATTATACTTTTAGCAAATTAACACCAACGTGACAGAAAATCAAAAAAGGCTATTTATGGAAAGATATCAATAAAAGAATAATCACATGCATAATACTCCTTCCGTCCCTCAGTTTTTGTCCACTTTCAAAATACACAATAACCGAGATAAGGTTTCTAAAGACTCAAAAACCTCTCCACCTTGTATGACACTCTAGCTTGTGTTAATTGGGACCGCCCAAAGCTTCGCCACCTAACCTCCAATTCATTGTCATCTCAACGACCTCCACCATCAATCTAGCTAGCCTCCAACAACATCTCTCCACCAATCAATCCACATCAAATTCAAAAAAAAAAAAAAAGAAAATTGAGAAAAGATATTTTAAATTTGGATTTAAAGAAATCGAGGTGTAGGGGATCTAGATCTTGAGAAGAGATTCCGATCATCGAATGCAGCAGAGAAGAAGTCCAGCTTTGATCTGATCTAACTCGTTCATCTTTCAGCAACTATTAACTTTGAAGATGTTTGTGTGTGTGAGAGAGAGACGAAGAAGAAGAATTAGAGACGAGAGTAGAGAGATGAAGGGAAACTCTTTAGATGAAGAGAAATAATTATCAGAGATTGGAGATGAGAGAGGGAAAAAAATTTGAGATGAAGATGAAGAAAAGAGATTAAAGATGAAAGGAAGACGGAGAGGATTTGAGGGATTATATTAGAGATTAATGGGAATGGAAATATGGAACACGTGATGTGAGAGAACTTTGGACATTTGAAACAAATTTAGATGTAAGGATATGTATAATAGACCTTTCATTTAATTTTCGTTTCCATATAAAGGAAGGAGACAAATACTGAAGAACGTCCCACAAAAACTGGACAAATACCGGGTGGATTTTACACCATCACCTTGTTAGTTGTTTATTTGTGTCAAAAACATACATTATGCAAAATTTTGATTTGTCTAAACTACCGAGTTTAAACATTCATAATAATTCTGATAGACTAAAAAAATTAAGGAATAACATGAGTTTCAATGAATTTAGCTTCCAACTTGTACCTCGAGTTATTCATTCCCCGAAGAGGATTGAATGTTTGGAATTAAATTCATTTCACAAAGAGAACTTAAAATTCGTGTAGAAGTCCGAGAAGAGAATTAAGAATCCTAAATATCAAAAGATTATGCACAAGAAAATATTGACAAATAAAATATTAGACCATAAACTCAACCTCAAACATTCACGAAATTAAAAAGCAAAAAACTCAAATGATAAAACTTGATCTCTACTGAGGAGGTCTCTTTCATTATATATGAGAAGAAGGATGTATGATTATTGTAAAATTATATTTCTAGCTCTCAAATTAGCACCAACATGACAAAAGATTAAAAAAGAAATTAAATATGAAAAGGTACCCATAAAAAAATTACAGATGTAATATTAAAACATAGGAGACTAATATAAAAATAATCTATTATAAATGATCAATTATAAAATTAGTTAATAAAAAACAAACTAACATGATAAATGAAAAGGAGGTTTCCAAACAAAGCCTAAAAATGTTGGGTTACTTAAACAAATTATTGAATACTATGGGTAGGTATTTATTTATTGGGAGGAAAGATAATACATAGTGCTTGCTACATAATTACTTTCTTTTTCATATTATATACTCCCTCCCTTTCAAAATAAAATTCAATTTTCACTTTATAATATTTGATTGAATTTTTTTAAAATCAATATAAGTAAAAATTAGTGTAAAATAAAAAAAAATAGAAATTATATATTAAAAGAGTGAATCACAAGTTCTACAAAATAAATATTGACAAGGTTATACTCATTTATCAAATAATGAATAAAAATGTATAGCGAAAATAAAGTTAGTTTGACGTGTGAATAGTAACTAGGAGTTTTATTTTGGGATGGAGGGAGCATAAAATTTATCATCAAATACTACTATTTATTTATTTTATACTATTTTATTTACTGAAATATTGAAATTGAGCATTAAATTTTAAAACATTGACTCTACAAAATAACACGTGAAAAATGGGAGCATAATAATAATAATAATAATAATAATAATAATAATAATAATAATAATAATAATAATAATAATAATAATAATAATAATAATAATAATTCTACTACTACTACTATGTATGGTAAGATACTCTCTACCCACAAAAAAAAGTTATTGCGGAGTGTAATGAGTAATAGGTGGGAAGAAGGATGGACTACAAATTGCTAACGCATGCACACTGAAGTTTTGAAATGTTCGTATCCCACACCGGCTGAAGAAGAGAAGATAAGCGGGGGTAGAAGTGTATAAATAGAGGCCAAGGGACTCATAGCTACATACTTACCTGGACGGGGTCAATGGGCGATCAAGAAGGCCCATGGCCTAGGCTGATGACTTCCATTGCACTTTGGAAGGGTGTCCGCTTAAGGTCTACCCAAGCGGTGGAGCCTACGTCATAATTTGTGGCAGCGGGGGCCTGCGTTCGCGCGGCCCCTACCCAATCCCATTATAAGCTTATCTTCCTCTAATTGTATAATTAAAAGTTAATTATTTCTGCTAAGTAATACCTTCAAATTGGATGGGCTTCCTTACAATTTTACATCACTAAAGTACAAATGCATATTTCAAACCGCAATTTTTCATTCATAATTGTTCCCCATGAGGAGATAATACTGGGTTTTACATTTATAACAGCAAAAAATTGCTGCCAGATACCCTCGGTTTTGTGATAAAAACTCACAGATCTCATCTTTTTCAAAAATATACTTTGGGGTACCTTTAATTATCTGAAAACTAACTCTGGGGAGACTTTCCATCCATCCATCCATCAAATTCATTTTCTCCGTTAACGTTTCATCATCTTCTTCCCAAAAATTGTTATCAAGTACCCTCAATTTTGTAGAAATAACTTCCAGGTCACATCATTTCCAAAAATATACTCTGGGTACCCAAAAATATCCAAAAACTTGCTTTGGAAGGATTTTCCTTTATCATCATCATCATCATCATCATTATTATTATTATTATTATTATTATTATTATTATTATTATTATTATTATTATTATTATTATTAATCTTAGAATTGGATTGGATTTTCTCTACACGCACTAGAATAATAATAATAAATATAAATATAATAATAATAATAAACGTGATTGTAATAGTAATAGTAATGATAATCACAATAATAGTAATAATAAAAGGAAAAAAAGGAAAACCCCCTATAGTAACTTTTTGGATATTTTAGGGTACCCCGGAATATATTTTTAAAAATGATGGAACCTAAAAGTTACTTTTATAAAATTGGGGGGTACCTAACAGCAATTTTTAAAAAGAAAATGATGAAAAATTAACGGAGAAAATGAGTTTGACGGAGGGATGGACGGAAAGTCTCCACGGAGTTAGTTTTCGGATAATTAAAGGTACCCCAGAGTATATTTTTTAAAAAGATGGGACCTGTGAGCTCTTATTACAAAACCTAGAGTACCCGACAGTAATTTTCTATTTATAACAGTGATAACAAATTTTTTCAAATTTTCATAAACTGAGTTCAAATTAAGCAGTATTCGAATATACTTCCTCTGTCCTTAAAAATGCCTCTTCTTTCAATTTTGACTTGTCCCAAAAAAATTCTCCAGATTATACTTAAAATATTATTTTCCTTTAATCGAACACAATACATTCCAACTTTCTTCTACACCATTCCTATTTTGATATTTTTCAAACCTTATGTAGAAATGGTTCATCTTACTAATCAATTATCGTATTTTACCTTTAGTCAAATATTTACAACTTCTCCTTCCAAAAGTTAAATAAAAAAATATTTTTAGAGATCACATGAAGTATAAAATAATAATTTCAAATGTGTGGACTAATACTCTCCAGTCCCTATTATTTCATATTTCTTTTTTCACTTGTTCTAAAAAAGCTTTTCTGTCTGATTTAATTGAATTTATATGGTTTTATTTTTTTTAGTAAATCTAATTTAACATATTCTAACCGTCGTCTATGCCCTTCAAGTTTTGATACTCCCTTCGTCCCAGAGTATTTGTCAACTTTCATTTTTACACACAATCCAATGCACTTTTTTAATCCATTTTATCTTGTAATTTGTATATTAAAAAATTATAGAAATTATATATTAATAATCTATATGTTAAGAGAAATCAAACAAGATCACACATGATTATATTTAGGCTTACATATTGAGAGAATTTGATGAGTCAAAGTGCTTAGATGAACAGTTCCAAAAGTCAAAAGTGGACAAATATAGTGGGATGGAGGTAGTATTTCCTAAATCTAACTTTATATCTATTGCCATCATTATCCTTGATTAAACATCTAAAGTTTCTCGTCCCTAATTGAACCAAAAATAGGAAATACATTTAAAGAATAACTACGTTTGGAATTTTGAATGTGACACAATTAGAAACAATGATTCGTGCAAAAAACAACAAATGCCCGCATTCTCGCAATCTCACATGAAATGTTTAATCCCTTTTTTTTTCCAATTCTCACAAACTCACACATATGGAGTTCTTTTCCCAAAGAAGTGTTGAACCCTTCTTCATTTTTTTTCTTTCTACGCATGTCACTTTTTCAAATAAAAAAAAAACTAAAGTTCATTT